ATAGAGTATATTGAGTTCGAGAAAAAAGTTGAATATAATCACTTCCACGTGTTTTCTTAAGTTCCCCGCATCGCGAAATAAATTTTATTATATTTATTTACTTATGAAAACACGTTACCCTTCTTGGGGCATAGGCTGTAGACCAGAGGCTTCTCACTAAATCTGCCCTCCCCTTCTTTCCTGTTGAGTTGCCATATGTTCTCCGATCTGTCTCTTCTCATTTTTACGTAGAGGATTTGATGTCAGTGCTTGCTTTGTGATACGGTTTTATGATTTCCACAGTGTCTTACTCTTTTCCAGCATTTTTTCTTCAACTGGCAACCGATTTATTCTCTACTAGAGCAGATTGTTTCTGGTGGTTTGTAGCGAACAAGTTTGGATTATGTTGTGTAGACAGCTGCTAATGAATATTTGTACTTTTTAATGATGGTTTTTTAGTTCCCTAAGTTTCAATACTGTACAGTAGAACTGTTTCAACATTAGTACTGAAGGTCTCGACTGGTGTTACTTGAAATTGCTTTCTAGTTGCAGATGTTTCTCAATTGTCGGGATTGTGCCCCCACTTTCTCAATACGTACTGACAACTTCAATAAATTGAAGATAGTTCTCAGTAACGGGTTCCAAATCCCACAAAATAAATCTCAAAGAAGAGGAAACTACTATAGAGAACAACTGGGAAGGGATCAAAGAAGCAGTGTGGATAGGAGGAATTTATGGAACCTTCTTCGACACTACGGTGTACCTGAGAAGGTCGTCAACATCATACGGAATTCATCCGACGGACTACACTGTAAATTCGTGCACGGACGACAGCTGAAAGATACATTCCAAGCGAGGATCGATGTCAGACGAAGTTGCTTACTCTCCCCCTTTCTATTTTCTCTGGTGGTTGACTGGATTATGAGGACCTTCACATCTCAAGGGAAGCATAGAATACATTGAAGAGCTTGGATGTAGTTAGACGATTTGAACTTCTCAGGTGACATATCTCATACACATTAACAAATGTATTTGTAGACAGCCAGTGTAATAGCAGTGTCTGCGTCAGTAGGCCTCGACATCTACATGGGAAAAAGCAAAATCATCAAATACAACACACAGATCCTAAATCCAACCGCACTTGATGGATGATCTCTGAAAGGGGTGGAACGTTTCACATACCCGAGGATCATCATCGATTAACAAGAAGGATATAATGCAGATATAAACGTGAGTATTGGCAAAGCAGTGGTAGCATTTGTATTTCATAACGTCGTGTTAGTTGTATGAGTTTTAGTGAGTCTCTTATAGTCATTTTCAATTTCATCTTACAAATTCATAATGCTTCACCAATGTTTGGTTATTATATACCATGTAATGATAGGTATTGGTCACTTCTTGATAAATCATTTCACATTATTACATTGGACTGTTTTTTTTTCTTAATCAACATAACAGATCATCTAGTCGATGAAAATTATTTCAATGAAAATCAATTTGTTTTTCTTAGTTTTGTAAAAGAAAATATGCAAGTTCATATTCTTTTTTTCTTGGTAGATTATAGGATATTTTATATTTCGATATATTCACATAGATTTAGGATTAAATCTGAATTTATTTTATATTCAACCTGAAATATCAAATATTTTCTGTCTGATTTCATTAAATGTGCATCATCTCCAAATGAAATTCAATTCTACCGTTATTATTGTTACTTTTCATGTCTGTTAAATTAATTCACTTACTTTTAAACATCTGATAATCTGTTGTACATTTTTAACCCGCTCATAGGTACATAAAGGAACAGGTGAAACTTCAAAAAATGATATATCTTTGCTGATTGAGAGTTTAAATATTTCAGTGTACACTTTTCACATTACCTTGGATTTCTAAAGGATTATTAATCGATACTATCCAATGAATTCATAAATGACTAGTCTCTATAGCTTTTTGAAGTATTATACTTTATCTCAACAGTTTGTAGTTTTAATCTCAGTAATTCATCGATTTTCATTATTATTTCTCATGGAATATAATTAGTGACGATCCTCTATTTAAGATGATATCTTTATCTACTCTTTTGATGGTACATCTTTTTCTTATGAATGTTGCTCATCTCATGAAATCCATGTTTTTCCTTTAGAATTTACCTCCTTCAATTTCTTTTAATTTTGAAATATCAAATAAAATACAGTACTGTTTTGTAAATACGACCACTAGCATAGACTTATTTCGGCCTTTATAATACAATAATTATAAACTTGTAATCGTGGAGATTGATGATAAAGTTATTGAAAATAACTGTTCGCTTCACTATTCTTTGTTTTTGCAATATGACTATACATTAAAGTCATATCAACAGACTGAGTTCAAGTGCTGTTAACAAGTTATGATTACCAATTAAATGTTTCGTTTTTACTAAAAGAATTTATATAGCACATAATTGACCATTATATATAATCATACTAATAAATATACAATAAATTAGCATTTTTTTTACACATTATCCTAGAATTTTATTCCAAATTAATGCATATTTATAAGATATTGGATAACTTAATCCATCTAACAAAAGTAAACTTCAACCAATGAATTAATTTTAAAGAGAGCAAGAACAAAGATTGGTGCAGAATAATATGAATTCATTTTATTTCGTATGGTTCTCATCAGCTGCTTACAACCTAAAATATGCGAAATTCAAAGTTATTATAGATATTGACATACTTATACAACAGAGGGCGATGAAGGATGAATATATGTAACATAATGTAGCAAAGATTTCGTTAGAGTTAGTGAGGTCATAAAATTTTGTTTCGAATATATAGAGTTTGGGAGGGAAAGTTCCAGAAAATTGAGATAGTGATTAGAAATCATGGAATTAAAACACATTAGACGATTATATAATGAAGTAACTGAAAATAGATTAATGTTAATAAAGAGAGATATGAATTGAAATCGGTCAGTTATGAATGATGTAATTATAAAATTCAGAAAGAGTTGGAATGACGTAATAAAAATAAATAAAATAAAAGGGGTGGGGTGAATGTTACCAGGGCAAAGAAAGATTTATTACTGTTTCTTTTTGTATACAAAGATCTGGTTTTAAACGTTTGATTGCTATTGCTTCGGCGAATTTCAAAAGGTTTGAATTTGATTGTTTGTTGATCACTTTGAAGGACTTCAGTATATCGACTTCGTGTCCTGTGTCAAGGAGATGTCTTGCGACATCGCTGCTAAATGCTTTTAGTCCGTTTGAGTTCTCATCGCTAATTCAACGTTCTGGAACTTTCCCTCTCAAACTTTATTTATGTGAAACGAAATTTTTATGACCTTATTAACTCTATCGGAATCTTCTCTACATCATGATACATATATTCATCCTTAATCACCCCCTTATGTCATTATCTGTAATAACTCTGATTCTCAAATAATTTAGGTTGTAAGCAGCTGATGAGAACCATACGAAATAAAATGAATTCATATTATTCTGCACCAATCTTTGTTCTTGCTCTCTTTAAAATAATAAAGGGAACTATGTGTATGAAATGAATTAATTATAAACAATATTAAGTCATTTAGACTAGTTTGGCCACTGGATTACTATTGATCTGTAGAATTTGATTAGAGCTAATGAAGATTAGAGACATATGGCATTGAATACCTTCTGGTCAGTAATCCAATCATTCTATGACGCATTTGTTTTGTCTTGTAGTTAACGGTAATGGTATTTACTTCGGTTGCATCAAGGCTTCGATAAGTCTGTGAAATTCAAATCTGTTGCAGAAAAATTAAGAATTGACATTGGTCATATTGTCAAATAACAAATTTACTAGATTTCCAGTTTCATTTATCTCTCATTCCATAAATTTATTTTTACGTAAAAGAATGTATTGATCAATTCAGTTTATATAATCTTCCGAAACTATAATTGTTTACAAGTGGTTTACTCATTGTTCATTTTTGTGCGCAGCTGTATTCGCTTATAATTCAATATTTTTTATCTCTGAGCAGGAAGTAGCTTATCAGAGATCCTTCACTTATTATTCAGTTGTTAGAAAACTTTTAGTCAACCTAAAAATGATATTACTGGTCAGTAATTCCTATCATAGACGGTTTTCATCAAGGATTGATCTCATTTCGGCTTAGTATCGAAAACCGGCAACTGTTTCGTTTAACTAGGTTTGATCCATAACGTGTATACAAACTACAAATCGATCTATTATCTAAAATGTTTCCTTCTGTCAAAACAATAATCCTGTAATGGCTATTGACCTACTTTTAATAATAAGTTTTGTATGTAAAATTCAATGTTCGAAAAAGACACAGTCAATGGAATTATGTTTTTTTCCAGCTAACTGAATCATATTTTTATTCCTTAAAGTTCAAAGTAAACCTGTTGCATTTCTGCAATCCTTAAAATAAAGGTAAATAATAAAACTTTCTTCTTTTCTGAGTGGAGATGAAGGTCATTCTTTGTGTAAAATAATTCAAAGATTTTCTTACTTGTTCTACTTGTGTCAATGTTACAGTTCCCATAAGAAATGTTTGCCTTTTCATTATAATTGTTTTCCTTTGTTTTCAGTCAAATGAATTAAACAACAATGAGAAACCACAGTTGTTTAATTTCAAATAATTGTCTTTATTGTATTAATCATATTTCTTCTAATAGTATTAGTAGTAGTTGTAGTCGTCACAAGGCAGATATATGGTTCATAGCTAAATAGACATAAATTCACTCTTTTAGGTGGAGTTTTGTTCTCTAAGCTGGATGGTTTTGTCGTGGACTTTTCATCGTTCTTCTGAACAACATTATCCGTACAAAGTTCAGGTAGAAGTAAAGTGTTCAAATTTGTTCACATATAACACAGCTTGTCCTAACGACCTCGATCTTAACTGGTTATTGTTCACTCTATTGAAAATTCATTTTCTATTTGTTATTTCTCCGTAATTTGAATCCATTGATAAAATTCTCTTCTTCATTGTAACCATGGAAAACGATGTTTTCTTTGTTGTTCAATCAGGTTTTATTAGAAATGGAAAAGTTAATTCTTTGTAAAGCAACAGTTAGGTAATAATAGCATTTATTCTATATATTTATATTGTGATGGCATTTTCTGAATGGATCTTTGAAACAAAAATGTGAGTAAATAATAATGTGTTTTTTTTATAAATATATGAACTAACTCATCTTTGTTTGACTTTTTTACGGCATCCAAGATATCTTTCTCTCTCAAATAAATAACCTTGAGTGATAATGCAATATTTTTCGATATTTTTTCATGTACGAACTTGACGATTAAATCTTTGTATCAATAATGTATGGAAGCGGAAATCGATCGATTTATTTTCAATCGCGAATAAGACTTCTTTTTGGAAATGGTTTGAATCATCCGATTAATAATGATTTTTGACTGAAATTTGATCACTCTTGGTTAATATATGAAAATCTTAAGAGAACTACTTGTTCAACACGTGTTCATATGTCAACCAAGATTGATCAGATTTCAGTTAAAACTATCAATAACATCATAATCCAAACTGTTTCAAATTGAATGAAATCTCATAGTCGTTGTACAAGTAAGTGAATACTTTCAGCCAACGTGATTGTTTTTAAAGTAAACATTACTAGGTCCGAGTCCTGGAGCGAACATCAATTCTGCCGAGTCCCAAATAGAAAGAAACCCTTATCCTGGATTTCAGTCTTGATAGTTACATTCCAAATGTATTAAAAGTTAGTAAGCAATATATTCAACCAAAAAAAAACAATTGTATTGTTTGTAAAGATTTTGTTGCAAGTATTGTATTTCATTTTAAATGTTTTAGTGTTTTTCTAGAATATTTAGTTTATATGTACATTTATAATCTGCTATCAGAAATAATTAAATTAGTTTGTACGTTTGTTTCTCATTGAATTGAAGTGCAAAGTGTACGATTTAGCTCAATTTTGTTTCATTTGAAAAACACATTCATTCACATAATTGTTATAATAAGAAACAAAAATGGGACACTTATTATCATTCACCCACCTTTTATTATTTGAACATTTTCATTATATTCAGTCTGTTTGTACAAATATATTATTTACTTTAATTATCTTATATCCAACAATGTGTATCACAAATATTGATCAGACTGGATTTATTAAAAAGAGTGTTTATTTATTTATACACGTTTAATTAAATGTTAAGTGTAAAGCTGAACTATGAGAGCGTGTAAGTTGCTAATCGAACTTCAATGATTACTCGTAATGACGACAACATCATTGGATACTTGAGTTTAGGTTTCGGGAAATGATATATGCTACAGGATTACGAGTTACAATTGACTAGTCACTGGGTAGTGATCAAAGTCATGTATATTAAGTCCTGCTTAGTGCTGATCTATAAAATTCTCATACTCTGTGGTAACATTTCTGACTATGAGGATGGATGACACAAGATCTAATCCACTAAGGATAGTCAATGACCACAAGATTACAGGTACACCTTGCGAACAAGTACTGATTAGCACGAAACCAAGTTCCCAAGTATCATGCTAACCACCTTACATATTTAAATTTAGTATTTTAGTTAGAGTTAAAGGTTTAAAATTAATTAGGCTTAAATTCTGACTCAAATTTTAAATCTTATGCTCTATGTCTATTCGCTGTTTTCTTATTGGTTGAATAGGTCACAAATTTGTCAAGGTCATTTTAAGCGACACTGCCTCCTCATGCTTCAGCTTCAATGGTGTTATCAGTAAGATTTATTATTTTAATTCATGACCTATATTTTCAGGAAATCTACACATTTCAAATGTAGTTGTAATTTTGCAAAATTTTTCTTAGCTAACTAAAAGAAAGTAGAAGGTAAAAGGTTAAAACAACATTATATTAATCTACTATTTCCTTTATCTGACTTGGTTTATAACGCATCTATTCACTTCGTTTGAAAAATTTCACTTGTTTTAAATTCATATTCTTTTTGTTGAGTATTTTATTCTGAGTTTGTTTAATTTATGAATGAATTGATTCTAGGGTGTTTTTCAATAAATAAACGTTTGTCAGGAGTGAATATATATTACCTTTCTAGTTAAATGTATTTGCAACATATTTTTTATATGATGCAAGTTGAGTTGATAGTCAATTTATTTGTAATGAAGACGGTCACTTACTGTTGTTAATGTAACTGAATTTTTTTACAACTATCCTATGCATGTGTAGTGAACGAGAACTCAAATGGGAAAAACCAGTTTATGTTGTTTAATGCAAAATTACATAGTGTTTTCATAAAATATAAAAATCATACATCATTTGCACATCTTTGAATTGTCTTTTACCTACTCCATTATTCCTTTAATTCTGTTATTATTTTGGTTGCTATCCGATTTCCTTTACGTTTTTTCTTAATTCAATCTTCTGCTGCCAGTCATTCTACTTCCGTTTACGGTCACATACTACTTATATTTGTCAGCATAAGTAGCATACACTACACATGTATTTGTTCATCTTTTACACCAGGCTATTTTATTAGATGTATTAATTCAGTAACTCGAAAACTTTCATTGTTATAATAGATATGTGTATACAAGTTACATATTTTTATTAAGTTGGTAAAAATCTATATTGAATAATGTTGTTTTTTTTCCTAAAAAAAATGTATTAAAGATTGTAAAGCAGATCATTTAGTATAATGGATCTACTTTATGTAGATGGAGAGAAAAATATTTTTCACAAATCATTCCATGAACTTCATGTATAAAATGTTACACTGAAAAATAATGTTTATAGGTTTCTATGAAAAATCTGTTTGCTTTTATATCATTCTGCATATCCTATTCCTCTAGAAGTTGAACTAATGAAATTGTTCAAGTACACATTAATTTAAGTGAAACAACTCCTATATTTAACCAATCACTAAACAAAAAAATTCATTAGAACAATTTAATTGTAGAAAAGTTAAATAAAAATCGTTTGCCGTTATTTTAACACCCCCACTGATAGTATTGCCTTGAAAAACAATGAAAACTTTGTAAGTAAACTATTCAGCTTCTAAAATGTTACAATATCAAGATCATTTATGTAAATCAAAAATAGTTAAGTGAAAGGGTGTGCTTTTGGTGAAATTTGAACATTTTGTTTGCAGCTTTGAACACCTCACATATCCCTCCTCCCACAACTCATTAAAATACATTTAGAATTCAAACTGCCCCATACAGTTGAGGATAGCTTCACAACACGTAACTTCACACATTAATTTGATTGACAGTCAGTACTGTTAAAAAAGTTCTTATCCTAAAGGTTGATCGATATCAGCTGAATCCTGTTTCTTCATTGATATACCACCGACCATATAATAATAATAATCTTTTATGACCCCAAGTCATAGTTTAAGTTTCATAATGCACAGAATCAATTTTAAGGTCAGAAAAGTCAATATGTTAAAGAAAAACCCTCCTTTTGTTCATTATGCAAAACCTTTTAAAATAGAAAATATTACTGCCTAAATAAATCCTGTAAATCTAACCATGGTTCAAACTTTTTTTAAAGGATAATTTGAAATTTAACATAAAATTATTCGAAAAACAAATGGAAATACTTGGAATAAGTTTCTAAAATACTTATTTTAAAAGTTATCCAGTTTGTGTATATCATATGTGAAGCTCTTTTTTCTCCTTTAGTATTAACCTATCAATTCATAAATAACCAGTTATCTTTGAGTTATTTACATATATAACTACATCGGAACAGAATTTACATGATGCAACTTGGAATTGATTTGAGTAATGACTCAAATGTATTCATTAGTGTTATTTATCTTCTCGGAATGAGATCCTTTAGTTTGAATATTATTTCGTGTTCTTTATTATTCATCTGATTTTATTTATTCTTTTTTTGAACTATTGATTATCTTTCTACGTTTAATGTCTCATTACAATTGGTTTTAAGTATTACTGTTGTAATTTACGTCAATTTGTTAAAAGATCAGTCCTCTCATTTTATCGAATTGATTTCAATTATGCGTAGTAACTATTCAACTCAGTTTCCAGGTACAAATTCGTTTACTTGATTTTAAGACACCGCACACTAGATATGCGGACTAGTGCTATTACTACTTAATCATGGGTTTCAAACCTGCGTTTTAATGATTGAAAGCCGAATACCTTAATCACTGGACCATCATCCCTATGTTGTTTATTGCTCTAGATGCTTATTATTTGAATTTCTCAATTCAATTATCTAAATATATTGAATCTCTTATTTTTATTACTTAGAGTATTAATCATCGGTAACAGAACCGGATGGAAACCCTACATTGTGTCTATGTGTACATATGTACGTGAACTATACTTCATTCAGTTGCCTTAGTCTAATCTTTTTTTATTTCGAAATCGTTTTTATCCTATGAGTCAGCTTTGGTGTGTAATTATAGGTCGTTACCTTACTTTAGTATATGAATTTTCACATGTAACTATAAATGAACTGAATTTTTCAAATTATTACTAAGTATAATAGTGATAATGTCAATATCATGTTTTATAATTATTAGAAATTAGATGGAATTGGTCCAAGTATATTGTTTATCCAATTCATGCGTGTACGTACTTGTATTCGATTTTATGCATAATGGACTATTACCTTTGGTAAAATATGTTTTCTACTTTATATATATATATATATATATATATATATATATATATATATATATATATATATATATATAAAGGGAGAGTCAAAAATCCGGACGACTAATTCTATCGATTTAATTATTATCATTAAGCTACTTTCCATTTAATCTACGTATATATATCTATCGTTTTATTAGTTTACTGTTTTCATATATTCTGGTTACTTATCATTTTCGTATATAATGAAAATTGTTGGATTGTTTTAAATAAAAGCCAACTTATTGCACTTATCGATAGTAGAGTAGTAAGAAATGTCATGTCTGGGGTACAGAATATTAATCAAACTCTATCTTTTGAGTTTGAAAAGTAAATTACTATGTTAATCAGCTCAATAACGTGATATATTGTATCTTTAAATTAAATGGGTGATAACAGTCAGTAGGAATCCTTAGAAATAAGTTTCATGCGAATTAGCACTTGTCGACTAAGCACACTTAGAGTATTTAAAGAAATATTACTCTTGCATAGATTCGAATCGGCATTGGACAGCATCATAACCACAGAGAGACAGATTACAATTAAACTATTTGCGTTGTAATTAAATTTCTGTATGAGATATTTACATTAGTTTATAACTGAGTAGTAGTTTGGTGTGTGCGCTACTTATATCGACATAAGTAGTATATGATGTTAGTCACGAACAGAATGTCTGGCAGCAGAGAGACAAGAGGATCGGACAGTAAAGAACGGGAACAGAATGCAATTTGTATGAAAATGCAAGAACAATGAAGTCTGAGTCATGAAACAATTGATGGACATTTTGCAAATTACGTATTTACTATTTTATTGTTAGATTTTATTAACAAGTCCTGTAATTTTGTGTCAAATACATTCGATTGTCCCCACTGGTGTTCATGTTCACTACAGTAGTAGTCAGTATTGTTTTATATAGTTAGTTGTACTCTAATTAGTCAATGACACTATCTCGTATGCAAAATACATTACGTAGTTACACGTACACAATGTTAGTTGTGGAATTCCCTAATTATGATTAAACAATACTTGTGGGGTTTATGATGAACAGTTTATATATAATATATATACTTATTGACAGATTATTCTTCATCATTTTGATTACTGAGGGATACAATCCCTAATTGACAGATGTGTTAGCATGTATTGATGACTAATTTAATTTATGGAATTTCGTGTTTACTTTTTTTACTTCTGAGATTTATCTTTGCTTATCATTATTAATATAATGTATACATTAGTTATTGTTTATTTTCATTCAATCGAAAGTTTTTGTAAAGATTAGTTTGATTTTGAAAATTTTATCTCCTAATCTCGGGAATCAATGTGAACCAGGAAGCACTAGGCAATTGTAGTATCAGAAGTATGGTGTTACCTACCAATGAAACAATAAAATAAATCTAATCTTTACTGACAACCTTGGGAGAACCAGTCAAATCGGATTTTCACATTAAATTCAAAGTATAGTGAAGGATAGCATGTAATTTATTAGGAATCAAATAAAAGTCGTTTTTACCTAGTTCGTAAAAATGCTTAGAATGGTTAAAAATACCTCTTGTGCAACCGTACAAAATGAATGTGACTCGATGAGTACACTCAACTATAAGAAATATCTCTAGCTAATGGAGATTACATCTATGTATACTATAGATGTGATTTAAGGCATAGTTCAAGGGTATTTATGCGGTTAGAAATTATTCTCTCACTCTAACTCCTGACTTTAATTCTTAACCTCAAACGTTCATTATTTTTAAATAATATATGACACTAATTTATTAATAAGCTAATGAGATTGTAGATAGTGTCTCTTGAATTTTTGAGCGAGATCTCGATAAATATTGTCATTTGTTTGAGGTTGTGCATTATTGATTTAGGCATTTGAAAACCACTATCTGACACAAATGAAATTTGTTTCCATAATTATTCTCTCGTGTACTACCTAAACATTTATTTATTTATTTATTTGAACACATGAATATTGGTACAAGAGAGCGCCAATATATATGCGCCACACAAAACAATGAGAATTCGAAGAGTAGAAAAGAAAAAAAAACTAAGGAGCGCAAAAGAAAAAGAGAACAGTGACGAAGAGATTGGA